AGGAATTTCATTACTGGCTGGAGTGGTTTAAAAAGCTTGCTGCTGCTTTAAGAAGCCAGATTTACATATTTCATGTTTAAAAGATTTACAATATGTCTCTCATGCCTGTATAGAAAGATGGAGCTTTCATTATAGGTCTAATGTCACCTCAATACAAGGATTAATACTCTTTCCTCCGCCTCGGTCTGCGTGGCTGGTTGCAAGTGACTGGTCTGTTCCTGGTTGACTAAGCTGTAGGGGTGTTTTAATATTCAAGGAGATGCATTTTTGAATAATTAAAGCAAGCTTTGACATCACTCTGTGGAGACATCCACAGACAGCAATCCTAGAGGAACATCAAGGACTGGAGCATCTTTCCAGGCTTCTAGTTATTTTCTGTCGTGCACTGGGGAAGGAGGGAGGGGATTGTTGACTTTAACTGCGAAGGTTAAGCGCTTTGTATCAAAAAGCTGAACCGGAGGAAGGCTCGAAGGGCCAAATTCTGCCCTCGATAGCCGTGTTGCAGCTTCAGCATGGTCGCCGTTGCAAGCTGTTCCATGGTGTAATAGACAGGGATATTTCGCCCTTAGGAAGTGTCTCCTCACCAGTGTGTGATGCAGAACACGAGCTGATGGAAGATGCAGCTCAAGTGCTACATGATAATTGGGCACTTGGGGATGTGCCGTGACATGTTGGGCAAATGTTTTCTGCAAGGTCCCGCTGTAGCACAGGTGGGAATTTCTAATGGTCCATTGAACGCTGTGCACATGTTTCCTCTGTGCTGAGACGTGGTTATTTCTCAGCTGGTTTTGCAGAGCGATGGGTGTGGCTGGGGCCAGGATCTGCTTCAGAGCGATGCGAGCTGCATCCCTGGATGCTGGAGGAAGGGGGGGTTAAATGAGGGGGCTGTCAGAACAGAAAGTGATTAACTGCTGGCCAAAACTGGTCCCTCCTGAAGGTGTAAACCCTTCTGGTTTCATGTTAAGAATATTTTCAAGGTCTGTGGAGTTCTTTGAATAACTGGACACAGTTTTTTTTCAAACTTTCCTTGCCTGGGGTTGGTGCAACAGGCTGTCAGCACCAAGAAGGTGCAAGACTGGGTCCTTTCCTGGTTGTGCATGATGGCATTTTCTTCCTTTAGCTTTGCCTTTTGCCAGTCTTCTTTTTTTCTTCAGGTTTGTGATGAGATGAGGGGTGAAAAAAAAGCATTATAGGCTGTTTCTGAGATTTTTAAACTTCTTTGTTTTAAGACTGCATGGGATTACTGGCTGGTAACTTGTATGAAGCTTCTTGGTCATCTAAGATTTGATTTTTGAAAACTTGCTGTTATGTTTGTTTCTTAAGAAATAAAGTCTTCAACCCTACAATAAATGTTTTCTGATATTTAGTATTCTGAGGACACCAAAGTAGTAATTTTTGTTAAATATGTAGATGGATATGGATATGTATGCATGTGTGGGCAGTATACTCCCATGCATATTTACACACACACAAACTATGGATTTAAATATAACTTGAGTTAAGTAAGTAATTTTAAAAATTACTATGGAAAGAAAATACGCATCTTAAATATGTTTACATTGATGTTCTAGTTCTCCTAGTTAAGAGGAAGTTGTGTTTTTCTGCAAATACTTGCTTTCAGAGCTTTTGTTGTCCAAAACTCAATTTCCGCCCCCCGCCCCAGAGGATGTTAAGTCCTTTCTTTCACCAAGCCAGTGAAAAGTTCCATTAATGTAAGCAGGATCAGAGCTCACTGGGTATGCTTATTGCTGAATTAATAAATATCTGGGAAAATAAATAGTTATGATGCAAGTGGTGAAATTGCCTTATACACCAGAAGATGAGATTTAGCGCAAATAAAGTGTATGTTTGCCCCACATCCCAGTACCATTCAAACTCACTGTTTTGACTGTGTGATTTCATATCTGTGCTCACTGCAAGATGGAAAGGGTTTTCATTTCAATAGTGAAGTCAATAATTATGGAGGTTATCATTTTCATGCTCAGAAATTCATGTCATTTTCATAAATCATTCATTTCATTTCATAAATCATGCTTTACAGCTGCAGAATGGAAACTTATTGCTGGACATTGATGAAAATCTTGTTTCAGTCACTCAGGTAAGGTTGTGACACTAAAAATGTTTTAAGGAAATATAGATGAAATAATCTATAGGAATAGTGCAATTTGAAAATGTTCGGCTTGGGATTAACTTCACTGGAACGTAGCTAATATCAGATGTGAATAATTCAAAAAAGCGTAATGGGTGAAATCAGTTCTGTAGTGACAGTGAAATCACAAAAATAAAAGATAACTATTTGGTGTCCAGAATCTCATATGCTGCAAGTGGATAAAACTACATCTATGTCAGAGAAGCTGCATTCATTTATTCAGGCTGAGAGCTGGGTTATAGAAATAAGGTAGATACAGAATCCAGAGCTGAACCATTTGGGACTTTAAAATCCCACCTCCAAGTGTTGCTGTTTAAGACTGTCTCTAGTAAGTAAATGATGAAGTTGTGTTCCTACTAAATTTCTATTTACATCCTCTGACATAGTTCTATAGCTCTTGTTGTGTATAAGGTTGCTATTCTGTGAGAAATAATTCCCCTGTAAATATATTCCTTTTCCTTGGGGAATATTGTGAATGAGGGTTTATTACAACAAACAGTGAAGTCGGCTTTCCTATCACTCTCTCCAGCTGCCTGTTTAGAAATCCATCCGCAGACTTTCTCTTAAGAGCTTTAACAGAATTATATCTGTGAAGAGTTTCCAAGGATCCATCACCTTGAAGCACTCTGAAAAGTATTATTATTCCCTTTTCACAGGGGTGTTGAGGCATAGAGATCTGAGTTGCCACCTTTCAAATACATACCATATAATCCTGATTTGAAAAGTATACTATCAATTTTCAGTATTGATATGAAACTTATAATATTTTTTCCACAAAAAATGTGTAACTTTGCAGACACTTCCTCTTAGTCTGTGTAACCACATGTGCCCTGCCTTTTCACATCCCCTCTGGCTTGCTCTCCTGCTTCCTCACCTGGGGTGGAAGCACTGGGGGAGCCTTTGCTCATGGCCTCCTCAAAAGGACACATGCTGTTTCTTAGCAAGCCAGAGAGGAGAAAACAGTGAAAAACTCATCAGTCATGCAGGAAAAGGGCAGATTTAGGGGTGGTGCTGAACAAGCAATTTGGAGAGATGAGAAGAAATCGGCTCTTTCTGTAATTTGGTGTCACCTGGCATCTCTTGAGTCAGTAGTGCCTGCAGGAGGCCTGAAGTGATTTCCAAACAAGTGCTGCTGTTGTCATTATTCCAACTTTTCTGGGCATTTTAATGATACTTGCCTAGTGTGTTTGTACACACTGCAGAAGTGACTTAGAGGCTTTTTTTGTTTTTGTTTTTTGCAGAAGCTACTTCTAGCAGTATTTTAGTAATGTACACTAGAATCGGTGTACCCTGAAGCAAACGTGGATTTTTCTTCTTTCTTCCATCTTCCATTTCCATGCAGATACTTAGAGGGATATATAAGCCCATAAGAAGAAAATATATTGTCATAGCACTAAAGCAGTGTGATCTGTTTAATATAAGGCATGATGTGAGGAAATGTGAAATAATTCATCCCTAGGTGCATCATTAGACATAAAGCTGAGAATCATCCAGGCTGCTAGACAAACTCCAGGTCTAAGTGATTGTAGCATTGCTTTTGTATATGGGAATAGAGATTGGACTGCAAAAATGTATAAACCTTTGATTTTCTTATATTTTGAATTATAGTCTTATATCTTAAAGGATCATTTATAATAGAAGGTTGAGGGTGGGAAGAAATCTTAGGGCGATCTTGCTCCTTTGGTAGGTTGTAAATACTGACGAGCCAGTGTGGTTAATGTTCAAAGCGCTGAGTATTGGCTACATTTGCAGGTCAAGACTCAACTGAATTTCAAGCCTATTTATGTGATAGGAGGCTGCAATGTTTGTGTGCCTAAGATGGGGAGGAGATTCAATGAACTGAATTAAGATTTGCATTAAATCTCATTCATAATGAGAATTATGGCTTCCCACGTGTGTGGGTGTGATTGAGTATGATACAGGGAAGAAGAGAAGTCACTAAGCAGAAGAAAGGTAGTGGAGGAGTAGTTCTTGAGTTCCCATCACAGCTTTCCAGAATAGCCACCCTGATAAGGATGATAGATGAGTTTTAGGTTTCCTGCAGAGCTATAAGAGGTCTGTGCTTTACCATCCCTGGACACCAGATGAACTGATTTGCAGGTGCAGATGGGTGGTAGAGAGTCATTTTACTCCAGAATATGTGAAGGAGCTTTGATTATGCAGCCACTCAAGGTGCTCCTTATTATGAAAGTGCTTTTTCTCTTCTGGTCCAGTTAAGTGAGACCTGTATGGGTGACCTATTTTGAGATCAAACTGAAGGACACCCTGAGAAAACACTTCTGGCATGACTTAAATCTAGAGCTACAAACTTACAATAACCCAGTTGTGCATCCTCCTTCAAGTCCACTTATCCAGGTCACACCTATCCCATGGGCAAGGGGAAATCAGACAGCGCTTTAAAAGCCCTTCCCTTCTGTATCCTTATGTCACTTCCACAGTCTGCTGCCATATTTTAAGACCTTGAAGTGGGGGTTTAGAAAAGGAGCCAGGGAAAAGGGCTAGACATGAATCATGCTTGGTGCTCACTGATGTTAAGGGCAGAGCAGTAATGCATCCCGTCCCATTATGGATAGTTTTTTCACACTTTATTCATTTTTTTATGGTGGCAAATTCCCTACGGAATCATTTTATAGGATCAGCTGTTGGCTATTTGGGTCCATCAGCAATATCAAACCCCACAGCTTGAACCCACGTGCTTCCTCCATATGGGACTTGACATTTGAAGCCTGCATGGCTTTTGGGGGATTTATATTGCTAGCTGTTACTAGTTAACTTTACAAGTTGTAACTAGTTAACTCACAGTTTCTTCTCCTCAAAAGATAAATGGAATTTTTTTTTTTTCTCATTACAGGCTGTTACCCAACTAGAGCTTTTTGGGGACATGTCCACTCCTCCTGATGTAACCTCTCCCCCAGTGAGTATCCAGGGAAACTGAACTGTGCATTTTTCTACAAGCTATTTTCAGCACGTTTATTGAGCACATTTACAATTCAGGTCATCAGCCATTCCAGTAGGGATGATTTCAAAGTAGTTTTTATGTTGTGAGAAAATAAAAGTGAAGCAGATTGAATGTGGAGTCACTGCTTCATGATGATGTGCAAAAATATCTTCAATTTTTATTTTTCTGATATAGGGCTAGGTGTCACATAAGATATAACCTAAGCTGCAGATCTCCTTCCCTGGTGTTTATCGGAGGTGCATGCTTCACTGCACTCTGTCTCTCCACTGCACTGCAGGAAGATCCAGTTACAGCTTTATAGAATAATTTCTCTTTGGTTCCACCAAGCACGTATCCCAGAACTGCCGTTAAAGGAAGGAAGACAAAACAGTAAAGAGAGAGAGGGCTGAATGTGTTTTGAGGGCAAAGAAAATTTTCTCAACGTGCTTTTCTGCAACATAAAATGATAAAGCAATCATTTTCCTCTAAAATTTTTGAACCTTGCATTAAGCTGTAGGGGAGTATCAACATACTGAGAAAAATGAGGCACTGTGAAGTCATCAGCCTCAGATCTCCAAGGTATTCTGGAACATGTCTGGGACTAGATGTTCAAAGTCCTGTCTCCTCATCCTCAGCTTGTTCAATTAGATTTGATTTCTCCTTTAATATAGTCCGATGGTTCTGGTCCTGTTGGTTAATTGGAAGCAGTATGTATTTACTTGTCCATAAATCCTGCAGATATTTCATTTGCCTTTACTGTTTTTTACGTTACTGCCTTGGTCTTCTGCCTCTACTGGTTGTCACCTAGAATCACAAGTCTGTATGTTCTGCAGAAAGAAACATGGTGGACAGGAAGCTCAATATGAGTGAACAGTGTGCTGCTGGGGCCAAGAAGGACAATAGGGTGCTGGGTTGCATCAAAAAGGGCATCACCAGCAGAGATAAAGAAGTCATTATCCCACTCTACTCAGCGCTTGTCAGGCCACACCTGGAATACTGTGTACAGTTCTGGTCCCCGCTATCCAAAAAAGATGTGGACAGGCTGGAGGGGGTCCAGAGAAGGGCCACCAAGATGACAAAATGTCTGGGAAGCCTGCCATATGAGCATAGGCTGAGAGAACTGCGTTTGTTCAGCCTTGAGAAAAGGAGGCTTAGAGGTGATCTCATCACCATGTACCAGTACTTAAAGGGTAGTTACAAAGAAGATGGAGACTCCCTTTTTACAAGATGTCACATGGTGAGGACAAGGGGTAAAGGGTACAAGTTACTCTTAGGGAGATTCCGATTGGACATGAGAAGTAAATTTTCACAATGAGAACAGTCAGTCATTGGAATAATCTCCCCAGGGAAGTGGTTGACTCCGCTATACTGGACACGTTTAAGACTCAGTTGGACATGGTGCTGAGCCATCTTGTCTAGACTGCCCTGGACTGTCTTGTCTAGCCTGTGCTCTTGCCTAGAAAGGTTGGACCAGATGATCCTTAAGGTCCCTTTCAATCTGGTATTATATGATTCTATGAAATGATGTCAGTATTTTGCATGTGATGTATTCTGGGCAAATTTTATTTTTATTTTTTCCTCTGGTACGAAGTCTCTCATTTTCTTTCTTTTTCTCCTGTCTCCAGCAAATTCCAATACTGTTATTTCTATTGCTTCTTTCCTTCTACATCTTCCCATTCTTTTTTCTTTCTCTTGCTTCCCTCCAAACCTGTATTTTTTGAGTTACGGATGATGCAACAGCAAGGTATGTGCTGCAGAAGCTGCAGCTGATATGTCATCATTGTATTTTATTCCTGTTTTCCTGCAGACTCCTGCTACTCCAGGTGATGCCTTTATCCCATCTTCATCCCAGTCACTTCCTGCTAGTACAGACATGTTTGGTTCTGTACCTTTCAGCACTGCTGCCGTACCCTCAGGTAAGAAATCTAGGGAAATACAAGCTTGATTCAAATTTGGTCATCAGTTCTCAGATCTGGTTTGTGTTTCAGTACTCAGGGCATTAATTTAGTACAGTGGAAGTGGGGAAGGATTTTGAGGACAGTGCTGCAGGGCAAGGCAAAACAAATCTTTAACAAGCAGGGAGTACATTATTTTGAATTTACCCACATTTTTTAAAATAAAAGCCAAAAAAGTCAGTGGGAGTTCAACCATAGTTCAGCCATCTGGATAACATACCTTCTAGGTACAGTAGCAAGAGAGAAAAAAGCATTTAGTTTAGCTTTGCTTTCTTTGTGGTAGCAATGATATCCTGTGCTGTCTCCAGTAAACAGAGAATGAGACACGGAGAATTTGATTGTATGTCAAAGGTATTCCACTTAGTCAAATCCTGATATTTCCTTCAGACTTTTCTGTGTTCCTCAAAGTGTTCAAAATTCAAAAGCTGTGTAGCATTCTGCAGACACGCAAGGCACATGGTTTTGACTGCTGATCTTTCCCTGGGATACTCGGAGCACTGCAAGAGCAGGCTCTCAGCTCCACTTACAGGAAAAAAAAAGGAGGAGGAGTGCCTCGAATCATTCAACAGTGACTTTCTAATTGGTTAACTCCTTCTCCGATGGGCTGTGTTGCAGCATCAGATCAGCCACTGCATCTCAGAAAGGTTACACTGATGGTGAAGTGTTTGGGGATAACATCAGATGAAAACCGTCAGTGCTTGGATGAGGTTACAGTGGGGGCAAGATAAAAGGACATCTGGAGAATCCATCATAGCCATCTATTGAAACAGATATATATCTGAGTTACTGTTCTTTCATCACTCGTTAATTTAGTCTTTCAAAGTTCTGTTACTATTTTATTTTTATTTTGGGCTTTTCACTTTACGATTTTGCAACCACCCTTATATTTAGCATTACAAAACAGCCTAGAATAAAGCAAAGAGGAAAAACTGCAGGAGGACTCAGAAAAACATTCAGGTTAGAAACAGGAGTTTTAAAGCTATGACTGTATTAAAAGTAAAAGAGAGGTTGCATATTGTAAAGTATTAGCAGTAAATTATTAATTTAAATGTGAAACAGCATATCTGTAAAGCATAGTACTTCTATCAGTGGAGCATAATTGTATTATGTGGTTTAATTTATAACATTTTTTACAGTAGTTTTAGTTTCAGGTTTTTTTCATTGTAAATGGCAAAGCACCTGATCATGTAATTCCTACAGAGTCAAACTCTTGGTACCTTGAAAAGAGGGTTCAGGTCTGACAGGAAGCAATTATAATTTTAGTTTTGATCTTTAATTTCCTCCCCAACTAGAGAGGTTTTATGCTAGCGTAATACCTGAAGCAGTTTGTTGTTATTAGGTATGTAGTACAGGAGAAGCTCAGGACCTCTTTGATGTTCTCAAGTAAAGGGAGAATAACCAAATGTGGGTTTTTTTTAATCTGAATTCATCTGGGCTCTGTCTTTTTATTGTGCAATTTGAGACACTTGCTCTGTTCTTCTCAGTCCCAGTAGTTCGAACTGTGACTGTTTCAGAAGAGATGGCACAGAGTCTTTCTCTTGCAAGAAGGTAACACTGTCATTAGAGGGCCCTTGAGCTGTTATCTAACATAGATGAAGGTGCTTCCCTGTAACTTAGAACCAGTTTTGTTGCTATGCCATTGGCAGGATTTGGCTGGTGTTCGAGTCACTCTCCCCACAAAGAATAAAAGCAAAAAGGATGAGGAACTGCAGCAAAGCTACGCAGAAGGGAGGGAGTCCTGGGCGTCTTCTTCCTTCCTTCTGCTTCCTCTGGCAGCTCATTTTTTAGCAGTGTATGGGCTGCTCTGAAAAGATTAACTCCATCCCAGCCTGACCCAGTGCATCATGTTCAGTCCCAAAGATCCCTGCCTCAAGAGGAATGGGACAGGCAGAGGTGAAAGGTAGAGGATGGGGGGAGTGAGGGTAGCAAGAAGCCTGCAGAGCTCAGTGCTGAGAAGCAGGGTTGTGCTGCAAGGGGGTGAGTTCAGGGAATGCTTTGGGAGCTTCTGTGCTTCTGGTAAGTGGTTTGACCAAACTGATCCCAGCTGTGCTTTGGCAGAGCCTTGGGGAAGGGAGCTGCCAGATGGCCAGCTGCCGATGAGGTCCATGCACACAGGTCTTCACAGACCCAAGGAGGGGTACTCACTGGGGAAAAGAAGAACTTCTTTGTTCGGATGAGGGGAAGGATTGTTGCCAGTATCCACCAATTTGTGGTTTTGTATACAAGTATTTGTTCAGTCATGTGAATTCAGTATGTCTTTCCGTTTTCTTTTTTAATGTGGTGAAGCTCTGGTAACACTAATGTATCCTGCATGTTTCTGATTTATTGTGTAGCTTTTTCTGCATGCGCTTGACAGTGGTGTTAAAATCTTTCATTCCCCCCCCCACCCCCGCTTTCTTTATTCTTTGAAGGTTATGTTGCCATGGGAGCTGTTCTGCCCTCATTCTGGGGACAGCAACCACTTGTTCAACAGCAGTTGGCCATGGGTGCTCAGCCTCCAGTTGCTCAGGTGATGCAGGGAGGACAGCCGATAGCGTGGGGCCAACCCGGTATTTTTCCTCCTACTCAGCAACCGTGGCCATCTGTAGCTGGTCAGTTCCAACCAACTGCCTTCATGCCAACACAAACTGTTTTGCCTTTACAAGCAGCCATGTTTCAAGGTACCATTGCTCCTATAGCTACTGTTCCACCTACAAGTGATTCCAACAGATCGAGTCCACAGACAGACAGGCCCAGACAGAAAACAGGAAAAGAAATGTTTAAAGATTTCCAGATGGCTCAGCCTCCACCAGTGCCATCAAGAAAACCAGATCAGCCTTCCCTCAGTTGTACCTCAGAGGCCTTCTCAAGTTACTTTAACAAAGTTGGGATGGCACAGGAAGCAGATGATTGTGATGACTTTGACATCTCTCAGTTAAATTTGACTCCTGTGACTTCCACGACACCATCTACAAATTCACGTAAGTATTTATATGCTTTCAGCCATACCTTTCTTCAGACATGACCGCTCCTCAAAGCATTTAATTTTTTTTTTCATACAGTAAATTGCAATACCAATATGGACTGAGAACCTTCATGCGTGGTCTAGCTTATTAAATATGTTGCAGCCATAAAGAAAAGTACCAGAGAGGAGTTTCAGACAGCATTGAAATCAACAGCCCTGATTGCTGCAGTCTGAAATTTAATTTCTAAGCTAGGGACATGCAAGCTGCTTAGAAAATGCTCATGACATTCGACCTTACAAATGGTTTCACTTACGTCCCATTCAAGCCATACTTTGCAGAAATTAGGGGTGTATTTTAATAGCTTGATGTATTGGACATGTGAGGAAATTCATTGAAGAGCTGTAAAATAAGCTTATTATGTTTGTAGCATGGAGATGAGGAATTTTGCAGGTTGGTGAAAAGAGGAATTCATGAGACACAGATTTACCAGGGGCCAGCCGGAGACCTTCTGTTTCGCTTACCTGCCATAGGGCAGGCGACTCATGCATTCTTTATGTAATGTAGTGGCATCTCCCTGGTTCCTAAAGACATATGCCAGATGCAGCCAAACTTAATTTGGAAACGGCTGAATGAAATCAAATATATGGAATTGATAATGACTTCTGTGTTCAAACTTACCTCGTATAGCTCCTCGTCAGAAAATAATTTTCGGGGTAATAAAAGTTGAGGGCTCTAAAACATGAGCAAATTCTGTGCTGCTGTGTCTTTCTGAACAAATTAATGGATATATATTCTGTTGCTGTTACCTTAATCTTTGTTTAGCTCCAACCCCTGCACCCAGACAGAGTTCTCCATCAAAATCATCAGCATCTCATACCAGTGATCCTGCTGCAGATGACCTCTTTGAAGAGGGGTTTGAAAGCCCAAGCAAAAGTGAGGAGCAAGAGGCTGTAAGTAGCAACAAGGTTTCTAATACTGATTAGCTCTTTTCAGCTAGAAAAAGACAGAAGTTACTTAAATGTTGTTTGGTAGTGTCAGAAATAACTATTCTAATAGGGCTGGGTGGTATTTAAGGGGGAGCTACAGACAGCATTCACTTCCCGGTTCAGTTTTGATAGCTAAAAGCATGATATTTGTGTTGATATGCACTAATATTGCATACAACGAACCAAACTCGGAGTTCATATGTAAGGTTATGTGTTAGTTGTATCCAATGTCCTTTTTAGCATATCAGCATTCACTTGTTGATGGTGTGAAGTCTGAGGTAAAACAACATACATGCTGAGGCCACAGAAAGAGATGGGAGAGTTTGTGTGTTAAAAGATGATGGTTGATGTTGTCTTGCACGTTCTTGCATCCCAGTTGCTTGCCTAGTTACATTCCTCAATATTCTGGCCCTCAGTATGTGATATCTTTGCCTTAGACTCAGTAGACCAAAGCAAGAAATGTTATCCAAGCAATGACTTTAAATCACAAGGTATCTTAGGCAGATAAGAGCCTAAGTGAGCCAAAGGCAGGAGGGAGTCTGTACAAAAAAAGGACCCAAAGGTACAAAGTCACGCAAGCTTGGACTCTTTCTGATTCACGTGGATTCACTGGCTTTCAGGGCCTTTTGCAGTTCTGGTTTGTCTGATCCAGTACCTTCTGAAGTCTGTGGCAGCTCCTGCATGGGCTCCAGCAGGTACTGGTGTGGTCCTTTCCTGCGTGCATCAGCTACAGGAAACCATTGTGGCTTTTGAGAACATATCAGTGGTGAGGTCTCACTTTCTGGTTTTCATGAGATAGGATGTACTTGTTATGCCCACAGCATGAAAATAACCTCGTGTTGACTTTTCACTTTTTTATTGTTGAGAAAAAAAGGTGTTATGTTCTTGTATTCTAGCCTGATGGGTCTCAGGCCTCATCCAACAGTGATCCATTTGGTGAGCCAACTGGTGATACTATAAGTCCACAGGTCGGTAGCTAGATAGCGCAGGTTGGGGTAGGTATCTGTCCTTTTTTTCTCTACATCTTGAGGTGCTCACTTATTCTTCCACCAGTGCCTACCATTGCTTTCATGGATGCATGGTTTGTTTTTCCTTTTCATCTCTTCTGTTTTTTCTCTTCATTATCCACAGTGTATTCTTCATGCTCGGTGGTTTGCATGGCTTTTGCCATTCACTAAGTGTTGCAACTTATGCAAATATGCGTGTTTCAGCTGCCTGCATGCTTTAAAGAAATGTAGACTTATTTTTGTGTTCAGATTCTAAGGGGAAATAGGGAAACTGAGCCATTACTAACAATGTATTAGGCAGAACATTTTTTTGTTATCAAATCCACTCTGGCCTTCAGTCAGAATGTAACATATTAAATGGAATAAGACATCTTACCCATAGACATAACAAACATTAAATAAAATTATGTAATGATACACGAACACCTCTACCCTAAATCAATGTGATAATCAGTAGAAGCAGCACATTTATTATCTGCATGTAAAACATATTGAAATGGGTTTGTGTATTTTTATCTCCAACTGCAAATTAAAAACATCGAAAATCATGATCATTCATATTACCATTGGAATACTGATGTTTTAAAAATTATTCATCAAATGTAAGTCATTTAAATCCAGACGGAGGGGAAAGATGATCTTTTCATCCTTTGTGTTACAGAACACGTTAGAAAATATGACTGCCAGTGAATGTTCTGTGGTTTGTTTCAATACAGTATATGTTTTACCAAAAAGACAGTAAAGCTACAAAATTTTATGAGTGCTGAGCATTGTTATTCCATCCAAATACTCTCTAGTGTTGCTATTTGAAGGATATGTTTCATTATCTTCTCCCTGTCTGCCATTGATGTTTTGTATTACCCAAATAAGTGATCTGATAACTGCTTCTGTGCTTCAGCACAGAGCTCCTGGAGCAAATCCATAACAACGGTAACACCCTTTTTATTTTGCACTGTGTTTACCAGTGACTTATCCACCCTGAGCCGAAGTAATTTGGTTTCAACTCAAAATTAATAGTTTCATTAGGAGTCAGTTTACTTTGTACATTAAATATAGTTTAAAAAAATCAGAGTAACTTAGCTTTGATCTACTTGGGAGTAATAAGATTATCTCTTAATAATATGTGGTGCTGTGAGAAGGCATCTTCCCCTTCTTTAGCTTCACCAGTGTAATGCTCAGTTCTTGGGGGCTAAAGCAAAAGTAGCATTAAGCTTTGTGTCTCATTGAGTCTAAAAATGACAGTGCAAGGATAGTGTCAAGCTGGGATGAGCTGCTCTAGCAAGAGCATCCGTTGGTTATTGTACTCCAGCGAGGACTGCTTCTGCAGATGGATGGTGCCACATAGAAATTTGGCTTTGCCTTTGCCTGACCTCGGCCAGCACTGACATAGCTGGCTATCTCAGCTTCAGACCATTTCAAGAGTTCTTTCCTAGATCAAGAAAGAGAATTTGACCTTTATTTGAGTCCCACACTCTGCAAACCCATATACATTTGTTTATTGCAGTTTATCCTAGTCAGGGTAATTCTGAAATTCATCACGGGGAGAATAATGATAAAATCTCTTTCTAATTTTCTGACTGTCACAAAGATGGTTAACATCATTTGTAAACTAGCATTACATGCGTTTACCTACCAGGAGTTCTGGAGATAACTTGAAACAGTAGTTTAAGTCTGTTAATGCATATTACCATGTAAGGCAGTCAAGTGGGGGACTCCTTTTGTTCTGCTTTTATATAACGCTTAGTAAAATACATTCTTTTACCTGTCAAGGGTTTCTGGGAGCTACAAGAACAGTATATTACCAGTGATTCCATATGTTTTTTCTATATTTTTTGTTAATCCGTGTAGAGTCTTGCATAAAATATGTATAATTCTCAGAAATAGATTCTGGGAAATGTTAAATAATGTTACTGATTATCGTATTATAGTAATTCCTAAAAGCTGTAGGCAGGAACAGGAAGCTGAACAAAAAGAAAGCCTCTATCCAGTGAAATTACACTAATATCATTGTGCCTCTGTGCAGTGCCATTCAGTAGCAGTCCATAGGAAATCCACTTGCTAAAACCAGCCTATCTAATTCTGAAGCCTGGTATCGTCAGAGCAATGGAAAGTCTAATCTCCATGGAAAATTATCAATTCAGGACTTACTACCATGTTGTGTATTGAGCTCCGCATTTGGAGAGAAATTTAATGGGGAGAAACATGTAGTACAAAAGAATCACGGTCTGTATTAAAAGCCACTTTTGTGTGTTCGATGGGAGATTACTTCGCTCTTTAGAACATGGTTCTTCACACCAAGAACAGCACAGTATACAACTCTCATGAATGGACCTCTGAGGAGCATGACATAGTATTGTGTTCAGAAATTTCAAATGTATCTGTTCCCAGCATGTCTATGGAATCAGCTGTGCCCCTATAATATCTTTACTTACCTTGTCTTGATGTATTCAGAATGCTCACCTGCCTAGTATCTTGTATCCTGATCTTTGAAGGTACCTTAGCAATTTGGTCTCTTGATTCCTTCTGATACTCCATATTCAGAAGAATATATGTAGAAATAATTCAGCATCTTTCAGTTACTATCTTCATTTCTCTGTTTTTCCTCTCTTCCTTTTGCGATCTTCAACTTAAGTTCTCCAAGTCCTCACCCTACCAGTAACCGTTCCTGTAAGGCACTCTTCTAAAAATAGCAGTGAGTTCTTAGTAGGTAAATATGACATTTTATGGATATGTTACATTTTAGTCCCTTTATGGTTGGAGATAAGAAGCAGACAGGCCTAACTTTCACAGGTGAAATAAAATCAACTATTTGCAGAGCCGTTCATGGCATGATTTGTATTGTGTTGTTTTTCCTTTGTTCATGAGCGGCATTAAGGGGGGATAATGATTTTCCAGAAAGGGTGAGGAGAACACTGAATAATAAGACTGCCATCTTCAGCTGACTTAGGTGTAATCCCTACTGCTGTCTTTAGAGATTGTGTGTGGGGTAACTATGGTGAAAGGAGAGAGAGGGAAAGAACTGTATTTAGCTATGATTCTACCAAATATGTTAAACATTTCTTATTATTGACATTTTGGATTAAAGCGAGTTTGAACAGAGGAGTTTTCACGTGGTCATCCTCTTTGCACCAGTGCACCCAACCAGCCTGAATTATAGGGTGCTAGGTGCAGACCCTGCCGGTGTGGATATTTCTGTTCTTGGGGGTATTTCATCCTCAGCCCCTAACTCAGCCTCAGCAGTGGGTCTAGCATGCTGTGACACTAGGAAGCCCTGAAGCTATACAATTGAAAGCTTAGCAAAGGTTATAGAAAGGGAAGCCTTCAAGCATGATGAGAAAAGGGAAGGAGAGGAGCAAACTTTGACTCTCTGATGTCAGGCTTCTTCGTGGTTACCTGTGGTTATGTTGGTCAGCATCTCCTAACAAAACATCCTGATTGTGGAAAGAACAAATTCAGCCTGAATACTGGGATGAGATACAACAAATGTGGTCTAACTCTGTATGGACCACACAAACAGGTTCTTGAAGGCAAATTAGCAACAGGGTGAAACTTCTGAAAGAGAATAAGAGGATATTTGATACCACAATTATTGCAATAAAAGCCATTTTAAATGCTGGAACAAATACAATTCTATTGATAGGCTGTTTAGTTCAAGACTTGCGCTGGCAGTCTTTCACGAGAGATTCTCAGGAAACCTTCAAAACATTTGTGGCTAGAGCATATCTTCCTCAAAAAGTTGTTTAGTTGTTCTGCGAAATGTGTGCAGACAATTATAAGCCCTCAAAATATGTCACACCCTTCATGATGTTATCAGCACTGTCAGGAGAGCAACAGTTCATTAGAATGTCTGTCAGCTTTTGGTGGTACTGTGGTGGCCCGCTGCCATCATCCATCTTTGAGCGAGTGCCATTCTTAGTGATAAATGTTCCTAATAATCTTAGTCAGCTCCTAGATGGACTACTATAACTCTTTATTTGGGCTGTTATTCGGAAGTTGAAAGAAAATAGCAACTTACGGACAAAGCGTTGGCTTATCTGGGAACTTGCTGATTCTGCAACCTCCTCTTCCTTTCTGCCCACTTTCTGTTACATGAAGAATCTGAATGGGCTCAAAATATCAAAGGCTGTATTTGCAGGTTCTGTTACCATCGTTCATCTGGCTCAATAGGAACTGAATAGAGTCCAGAGAAATTCATAATGATTATAGGTGACCTATTCTTACTGTAGGCTCTAGAGCTATCATTCTCAAAGTAAAGACACAGCACTGAGCAGGGTTGTGAACCTGAGAGAGAAGTAGTAGATAGGGTTGTGCATTTGGAAAGAGATCACAGTTTGGGAAGTACTGCCTCATTCCAGAGTAATCCTAAAATTGTCATTTCAGGCCCCATGCTCCTTTGTTCATCATCATATTTCCCACAGAATCTGAAGGAACCAGACCAGAGAAATCCAGGCTGCTCTGTGAACAGAGGCATCCTACAGATTTGCCTTCCTCTCTGCTGCTAAAATCCCCTTCGAGCTGTCCATTTTAATACAACCAGCTCATACACAGGTTTCTCACCTTTTCCAATGTCTCCAAGCCCATTTGAAGTAGCCAGGTAACTTGCCATTTCTCCAACTTCTTCCTCTAAACAAGCGACAACATAGTACATAGCTTGTGTATAGAGCCATGTACTTGCTGATTGGCAATCCAGCAATTCAATTAGGGGATGAGGTCTCCTAGCTTTCTCTGTAATGAGGTCATTTAAAAGTTCCCTGTCTTCTGCACAACAACTGATTTTAAAAAGGCACTTGCAATAATTTAGTATCTTAGAGACTTCTGAACAATTTGCTTCAAAGTTCAGAAGTTATGAAGGAGAATTGACAGATATGTAGATGGAAAGTATAATTGTGTGGCTACTATTTTGTTAGGAAAGGGGCCCAGAAATAATAGGCATGTTTCTTTGCTGCAGTTCGTTATTATGCTGGGACCAAGAT